TGTTTCTTCGATTCCCAAAAAAATATCGAGTTAGGGACAAGCAGACATGAATTTGCTGATAGAATTCATCAAAATAAGCAAGAATTTGACAGCGAAAAGCGAAGCGAAGGCAAAACGGGAAGGAAATCGTCGCCGTTTCAAGAACATGTGGCACAGAGTGGGCGATCGGCGATTTGCATGCACAGATTCTAATTGTTTCCTAACCTCGATTTTCGCGTTTATTTTGCTTGTTATCCTCCAAAATCCTTCAGAATAGTTTGTTTGACTTGTATTTGGTTGACATTCGTCGATACAAGCTTTCATTATTCGCAAAACCGGCTCACATAGATTCCCCGCGACTCGCCATTATATTCTCACTGAATAATTAATTAACGCATCGCCAAACGACCAGTAAAATACTCCGCCGTCCTTTGGGACGCATCAATGCACTGCGGGCTCCCCTGATAAATAGGATACACCACGTGGCTTTGATTTCACTGTGTCACAGCGCCGACCGCCGAGACGACTTTTCGAGGTTCGCTTGTATCGGTTTGTCAACCAACACCAGCCCGCCTTCGTTTCCTTGTACTTTCCGCTAGCGTCAAACCGTCTTTTCTTCGACTACATGGCGGAACCAGCGGGAGAATTACCGCCTTTACCTCCGGTGGCGGCAGAACCGCCTGCTAACCCAGAACTTCCCGCAGAACCTCCTGCAGGACCTTTCGCAGAAGCTCTCGCAGAACCGGCGGCGCAACCCGCGGCTGCTAATCAGGTAATTTCTAGTTCTGGTGCTTTTCGTTCGCTTTTAGCTTTAGCTGCCCGTTTGTGCGCATTTCGTGTTTTGTTCCAACGTTTCTAGTACTTTGTTTAGCATATTTAACGTTCCACGTGTCTCTAGGGCATATTTTTGTTTTTCTCTTCGCTTTTGTTAGCGTTGTTCGTATATGTATTTCATTTTACTCGGTCCTTTTGTTTCGGCTTCTTTGTGTCTCATTTGGCTCCGGGAGCCGATTTTTTGTTTGGGACGAAATATTTTTGTTTTGTATGTTCGGTTTTGTCCAAGACACGAGTTATTGCGTTTGCTGTCCGGGACCGCTCGGCTCTGGGGCCGGCTTTCGTTTCGGAACGAATTGCTTTATATACGGTCCGGGACCGTTCGGCTCCGGGAGCCGGGTTTTTTGTTTAAACCAAGTATTTGGTGTATGCGGTCCGGGACCGTTTAGCTCCGGGAGCCGGGTTTTGTTCAAAACCAAGTATTTAGTGTATGCGGTCCGGGACCGCTCGGCTCTGGAGCCGGCTTTCGTTTCGGAACGAATTGTTTTATATACGGTCCGGGACCGTTCGGCTCCGGGAGCCGGGTTTTGTTTTGAACCACGTATTTAGTGTATGCGGTCCGGGACCGCTCGGCTCTGGAGCCGGCTTTCGTTTCGGAACGAATTGTTTTATATACGGTCCGGGACCGTTCGGCTCCGGGAGCCGGGTTTTGTTTTAAACCACGTATTTAGTGTATGCGGTCCGGGAACGTTTGGCTCTGGGAGCCTGTTCTTTATTTAGAAAGAATTTTTGTTGGTCGGCTCAGGGAGCCGGTTCTTTTTCTTTTGTTTGGAGTGAGATATTATTGTGTATGCGGTCCGGGACCGCCCGGCTCCGGGAGCCGTTTTGTTTGGGGTGACATGTTTATTGTGTTTGCGGGCTGGGTCCGCTCGGCTCCGGGCGCCTGTATTGGTCATATATGCGGTCCGGGACCGTTTCGCTCTAGCAGCCGGTTTTATTTGCCAATGATTATTGTTATACGGCCTAACCGTCCATTTTGGATCTAGCATATCCTCGTTTCGGGATCTTTCGGTTCTGCCTTGGGACCGAAATTAATAACATATAAATGTTTTACAGACGTTAATATATACTTCATATTTTGCGTCACTCTTAGGCGGACGATCGAATTAAGCTTCTTGAAGACAAATTGAAAGCTTTGGAGGAGAAGCAGGGCGTTGACGTGGTCACCACTGCTCTTACCTCTGTTCGCAACGCTCTTCAGAAGCCGGAAGCTGTTTATGACCCTTGGGAGGCTTCTGCTCACGTCGAGGCCCTGGTACGGGCAGCCAGGTCGTCCGCCCACGAAAAGGCAGACTATTACGCGGCCATTTTGGATGAATTAAAAGGAAGATCTAATGCCCTCTCCCCCTCTGCCCATAAACGGCTGCTCATGGGCCTCTTAGGCGATCCGGTTAGAGCCAAGGTTGCAAAGGAGTCCTCTGCGCTTCTCAAGACTATCCAGCGTGAAGAGCCTGGGTTTCAAGGTCGTAATAGTACTCGCCAGTTTAGGCGCCAACGCCCTTATGTCTACAGTTCGGTTAATTGTTACAGATGTGGTCTACCAGGGCATTTCGCCAGAGATTGTGGCCGCGGACGCGGCCGCGGAAATTCTAGGCGTTAGCATCATGTAAATATTGTAAGGGTATGGGATATGTTTTTTCCTATATTATCCTTGTTTATTGGCTGGAATAAAGATTTTTTCCCCTAGTTATTAGCGTCCTGGTTTTCGCCTCATTTCTTCGTTGACCCTGGGGGGCCTTCTCAGCGCCTTTATTCTGGTCTATGATCAGAGCTGGGGTCAGCGAAGGATAGGGGATCCCACCTTCTTTTCTTCCTCTTCTTATTTTTGTATTTTCGTTCTCCGTTTTCCCAGGATTTCGCGGTTGCACTACGGGCAATCCTTGCGCTCCCGAGCCGTGACGTCAAATGGTGTGACATAAACGGGGAACCCTTATCCTTCGTTGGCCCCACCGTACCGGCGGAGCTTGTTAGTAAAGATCCATCCCTTGCAGACCTGGCCCAATTGCGTTTTAGACACCCAGATTATTTCCAAGCGGGCAGCTTACATAATCATGTTGACTTCTTGGAGGATCTCTTTTCTTCAGCCGGTTACACTTGTCCTCAAGTTTATTTGCTACAGATAATCCGAGAGGGAGTGAGGGTCGATAGTTTCTTCCGTCATTTCAAGGGCAACTTCAAAAGGAAAAGTTATGATTCCGCTGTACCGCCGATTTCTATTTTCCCGAACTCTCCTTGTTGCCATCAATTTACCGATTTCATTGACACTACAGTCTTAGCCTGGGTCTCTCAGGGTGTTATCAAAGTCTACGGCAAGATTGGCGAATGCTCTCCTCCTCATTTAGTCCTCCCCTTGACAGTCGAACCATCTAAGCCGCGTTTATGCCACGACGAGCGCTTTCTTAATGTATGGATTCAAGATCTCCCTTTCAAGTTAGACCACCTCCCAGACCTGCCTCGTTATGTCCTCCCAGGGCATTTCCAGACAACATTTGATGATAAGAATGGATACCAACACCTCAAGATTCACCCGGACTCCCAGGAATTCTTCAGTTTTTCCTGGAGGGGCTATTATTTTTCTTTCTGCACCTTACCTTTCGGGTGGAAAGCAAGTGCCTTTTTATATCATAACGTTGGCCTTGTCGTCACCAGTGCCGCGCGGTCTTTGGGCGTACCTGTTTCGCAGTATATTGATGACAGGCATGTGGGCCAGTTATTCCTATCCGGTCCACTGGTTTGCCAGCCTAGTCGCCAACTCGCACGAGCAGCAGCCTTTATTTTGTTATTCCTTTTGATCTCAGCGGGGTATTTTGTTAACCTTGCAAAGAGCTCTCCACAGCCATCCACTTTTGTTAAATTCCTGGGTTTCATCTCCGATTCTGTCTTGCAAGCTTTTTTAGTCCCACTGGATAAAAAGGAGAAATTTAAAGCGTTGCGTGACGAACTCCTGGAATCATCTTTTACGCCCGTAAAGAGCTTGCAGCGTTTCGCGGGAAAGGCGCTATCGTTTAGTCTCGCAATCCCGGCTTGTAAGCTGTATGTGCGGAAGGTATTCAAGGCTATCAGCGCTGTTGCCAAGAATTCGAAGCTCTCTGTTCCAATCCTGGGACCTTTGCGACAGGAACTTCAGGAATGGATTTTCTTGGACAATTGGTCTGGTCACTTACCTTGGCGGTCGGAACATCATCTCTCTGTCACAATGTTCAGTGACGCCTCCCAGAGGGCCTGGGGAGCAGTCTTGGTTAAAGATGGCCTACGCCAGCAAATACGAGATTATTGGATCGACCTTGAAGGTGATATCAATACCCTTGAGGCCAGGGCTTTATGTAACGCTTTGAGCTCTTTTTTCCCTTCTATCAGAAACGCAAGAATCGATGTGTGGACGGACAACGCGACTCTCCGAGCAGCCTGGGAAAATGGCGGTTGTAGGAGTTCTCTGGTGAATCAGGAGTTGAAAAATAGAAGAAATGTCTCGAGCAGGAAACTTTGTTTTGCATTTGAAATATGTCCCATCGAGTGAAAACATTGCTGACGCGCCCTCCCGTGCTCTGACTGACATTGATTGTTCTTTGTCCGAGGAGGCGTGGGCCCGAGTTCAAGCGCGGTTTGGACCACACACATTTGACTTGATGTCTTTGGACAGCAACTGTCGCAGAGGAAGGGATGGGAGCTTTTTGCCTCATTACTCGCCTTGGCCGACTCCGTATTCTCTGGGCGTTAATGTTTTCGCACAACCGATACCAATCGAACATAACGTCTATGTCTTTCCCCCTTTCGTTCTCGTGGGTCCGTTGCTGCGGTACTTTTTTGATCAACGCCAGCGTCTCGCTTTTACCATCGTTGTCCCTCGTTTCCGCCCGCATCGCTATTGGTGGGCAATACTCCAAGCAATGGCAGTAGATTCTTTTCTTCTTGGGCGGAAAGGTGACCCGGCCGTGTTGCTTTTCCCTTCCCGCACCTCCCCCGATTTTATTGCTAGGCCCTTGCCTTGGGATCTGTGGGTTTTTCGTTGTGTCTGCTCCTGGTAAGCTAGGTATTTATGCTTGTCTCTATAGATCGAACGCCCATGGAAGCCTGCCTGCCGATGTCCCGCCTGCTCTTATCCAAACGACAGTGACGCGAACTTTTGCCAGGCCTGCGGTAAACCCCTGTCGCGTGAGCCACCACACGGGACCCGTCCACCTGCGGACATGCCTTTGATCAACAATCGCTTTACAGAGTTCCAAGAATCGTATAGGAACAAACCTTATGAACGGCAAAAGGACTCTTTAGAAGTTCAGCTGTCGAGTTTCTTGTGCTCTCTTGTACCCCCGAAGAAAGTTTCTGCTGCAACCGCGGAAGACATCGTAAAGTTTTTGATTAGCAAGGATGCTGCGGGAAAACAGAAACTCCATGTGCGCTCTTGCTCTAGTAAGACATGTAGTTGCCCTAAGCGTCTAGCGGCCGGAACTGTCGATTCATATATAGGGAAACTTAGAGCGATTTTCAATAGGTTAGGCCGTACAGGGTTTTCTAACCCGTTGGCACATCCTTGTGTTAAGAAATATCTTAAGTTTGTAAGAGAGGAGCAAGCCCAGCAACCTTTGCCCCCTCGTCAGGCTGTCCCTTTGTTCTATGACAAATTCACCCGTTTAATTGCCTATCTTCGCGGGCTTATTGCCGAAGGCTCTGCGCTTTCTCCTCTCAATAGATACCTCCTGGTCAGGGATATAACATTCTTTGTTATTGACTTTTACACTGGTGATAGAGCATCCGATTTGGGCCGTTTGAAGGCAGATCAGCTTTTTCGCCTTAAGGATAGGGAGGGGTTCCTTCTCAACTTTACGTTTAGTAAAACGAGGCGTGCAGGTCAGTTTCGCCCTTTTGCTCTGTTACGTATTCCAAATGTACCTGTCTGCCCGGTTTTTTGGTTGAACTATTATATTGCCGCGTGTGGGTCATTAGGTGTCCCTCTTCATGGTGAGTACCTCTTTAGGTCTTCGGAGCATAAAAAGTTTGTGTCACATCGTCCGTTCGGAGGGTCAGCCGTATCTGCACGGCTCCAAAAGTATCTTAAGGCTGCCCACATTAATGACGGAGAGACCCCTCACAGCTTTCGTGTAGGAATTTCATACACCCTCAAGGGTTTGGGATGTACTCCGGAGCAGATTGCTCAGTACGTGGGTTGGCGGAGCACAGAAATGGCTTTGTATTACACGCGCCGCTCCAGTGCTTCCGCTTCGTTGCAGTTGTTAGAACGGGTTACGCTCAATCTTACTTCTACGAGCTCTCCGCCCGCCCTGCAACTTTCCCACCAAGGAAATTTGCAGAGAATTTCGTATAGTTGAATTAATACATCTTTCATGACTAAGGGACTTTCATCCCAGTACCCTCCGGTGGTTATTAGTTTGTTGTCAGTTAATAAATCTTTATTGAGTTATGGAGTGTTGGGTGTTGAGTGTTGGGTATTGAAATTATAAGGTCGATGTGTTTTGGGGGAGGGTCGGAGACCCAGGTTATAAGCAGGCTGCCTCAGGGAATGGCAAGGAGCGGATCTCTCTCCCATAACTTAGTTTCGCGATGTGTTAAGTGGTAGACAGTGAGGATATAGTACTATTCTCACTGAATAATTAATTAACGCATCGCCAAACGACCAGTAAAATACTCCGCCGTCCTTTGGGACGCATCAATGCACTGCGGGCTCCCCTGATAAATAGGATACACCGCGTGGCTTTGATTTCACTGTGTCACAGCGCCGACCGCCGAGACGACTTATCAAGGTTCGCCCCACCCTCCTCCCCTGGTGTTGGTTGACAACTCCTCACATATCGTGATCTATTCTTGCTGTCTACCTCTTTCCACAACAATCCGCGGATCTCTCTCCCATAACTTAGTTTCGCGATGTGTTAAGTGGTAGACAGTGAGGATATAGTACAATTCAAAATTTTCGAAAACTCGGTGTGTGACGGTCAAAAGTCGACAGGGGCTGGAACTAGGCAGGTGATTGGCTAAATCTATTAACTTCCTGTGTGCCAAATTTGGGAGCAATCGGAAGTAACACAATTTTTTGCGAAATTTCTTTGGTCACCGTTCCTGAAGCTCCGATTTCGGCGACCCCTGAGGACAATGAGTTTTAAGCAAATTAAACTCAGCCGATCATTAGAAAATACAGAAGATTGCACATAAGGGTTTGTTTTGCTCGCCTCAGTCAAATCAAGCTGCGGCAATTGTTTACCGGAAAAGAGTCAATTGTCTTGAAGTCACTGCCGGCAGTTGTCGTTCTCTACTTCACAGCGAGTGAAAAGGACGATTTGCGTACAGAAAGTTATTCTTATAAAGGACAGAAACTTTCACAGTGTACTGGAAAACAAAACTATGTAATGAAAAATGAAAAAACTCTGACTATTATTACTTGAGCAACAGAAAAATGATCTTGAGTAAGCTTGCTGGCCTTCTATTTTCGAGAAAGTTTAATAAGCGCACAAGTTTGTTCACTCTGATGAGTTATAACAGCAATATGGTTCTTTGACTGAAGACGAAGATAAAGCTGGTTCTGCAAAGGTAATAAATCTGGGCAAGTAAAAAAAGTAACCGTAACTGCTAATAACAGAATGCAAGAGGGGTTTAATTCAACCCGGCGAAATCAACTCATAAATTAATCGGATGCACAATCAGAAAAATACTCGCCTCTTAAGAAATGTTCAAAACCTTTTATTCCACCTCAGACGGACGGAATGATCCGTTTTTCCTTTAACATTGGTTGTTCTGAATCCAAAGTAATTTTCAAGCGACGTAAAAAAAGCAAACAGGTCAAATAAAAATGCTTTACAGGGAGCAAACGTTCGCACCTCGTGCATTTCACTCAGAACTCCATCAACAAACCAACCCAGTCAACACACAGCAAAGCTCGCCATGAGCCTGCGATAAGGGATGCGCAGAAGCTTGCGCAGAACGTTTTTCCGCCCTGAAGGCACAACCCCCCGTTGGGCGGCACATACCCGTATAGGTAATGTATGGGAGTACCCCCCCGGGTTCTTACATCAGTAGACTGTTTAAATTCTCCTATTTTTCCCGCAAGATCATCGAGATCGAGCGCCATTTTCATGGTGGCTCTACGTGATCAAGCAATATGAGAAAGTCTGCCGTCCTGCTTTTGTTTATCCTTGTTTCGACGGCGACGTATCTTCTGTTACTTTCTTCCTTATTTCCTACAAGAAAACGGAAGCTGATGATCGTAGAGCGCTATTACTCTAATCGTACGGGAAAGCACTGCGATGTTCGATTTGACTGGGGCGAAATGTGTCCTAAGTTATTCACAGAACTCGGAGGGAGATGCGACTTGATCAATGGAGCATTCTACTGTCCCGACATTCGCCATCAAACAAAGACCACTACGCGACAAGCACAGCTTGTCATGACACGAATGTTGCGTGTCTTCCATCTACTCGCTCAGAAGCACGACCTCACGTACTGGCTTGGGCATGGAACCTTACTGGGCGCCGCCAGACATAAAGGGTTTATTCCTTGGGATGATGATATAGACATTTTCATGCCTCTGGAAGATTATATAACTTTTTTTCAATCTGTAGCAGAGGAACTCCCTGAGGATATTTTCTTCCAAAACGTGGTCAGCGATCCTGCGCTCCAACCCAAAGACGAGGAAGTTAAAACGTATGGATTACATCAGCACAAAATTGTCGGGATTTATGAACGATCGTGGAACCCTAGACTTAGGGACAGGAATAGTTGCTATAGATACTGCAAGGCATTTAATTGCAGTTGGCACGATGGCTTAATGCTTGATATCTTCGTCAACCCAATTGTAAGCTGGTCGGTCTACCCTCTCAAGCTTATGGAATTCGAAGGATTTCTGTTTTTTGTTCCTAGCAACTGGAAGAAGGAGTTAGTTGGTATGTATGGAAAAAAATGGTTTGAATTTCCAACTGATAAAAGGCCTGGTGGAAACCTGGATACATTTCACGGTTGCGAAAAACTTAAAAGATGAAAGTGAAACTATTTGTATTTGGTCGAAAATGTCAGGGCCATAAATAAATGTCAAAATTAAAATAGCAATAAAAAAAATTGGTTCCCAGCCGGCGGGGTACTCTCGTTAGTAGTTACAGAAATGGGTATTCCAACTCAACTCATACCTACTCACCACCAATTATTTAAGTCATCCCGGCTGTTACCCGTCATATCAGCACTCCCTGTTTAATTTCTGTCATAAATTTCGTACTAAAATACCCAATTTTCATTTACAGTCAAACCAAGTCAAGCGTACCCCCCAAGATTCTTTTAATGAATTGATTATTTGAAGAATGAACCCGTTAGTCGTTCCCGTTCCGTCGTTCAAAGCGGCATTTCTGCATGCGAACTGAGTAGTGCATATTTTACGAGAACTTCTCTGTATTTGGTGAGATTGGAAATCTTTGAATGGATTAAGCTTCTTAGAAGACATTTACATCAATTTCAGGAAAATGGAGCTGGTGGAAATTTCATAACTGCCTCGCGTGCGAATTCACGGCTCATTACACATGTAAGAATGCAGAGATCAATCTGAAATCTACAACTAGGAACAGATTCAACTTTTGAGAGTAAGATTTTAGGGGGGGAAGTGGATGTTTTGTTCGATTCTCGTATTTCATGTACGTGACATGTTGTCGTCTCGCCTTATTTGAGACATTTATACCTTGTTTTAGATGGTTTTAGATTGTTTGCGAGTGGTTGTAGATGTTTCTGAGGTGGTTGTAGGTGGTTGTAGATGGTTTTAGGTGGTTTTAGGTCGTTCCATGTTTTAGTAACTACGACTTAAAACTGTACATAACAAAAGCTTGGAACATGATCGACGCATAGAACAAGCACTGATACTCGTATACAATAGCATTTATAACCAGGCACCGAACTACATTCGGGAAATGTTTTTACTGCGAAGCAATGGTTACAGCCTACGGGCCCATCTTAAAGTTGTTCTTCCAAGACCGACCTCATCTTATATGCAACATTCTTTCACGTACCAGGCTGGCAAACAATGGAACAATCTACCAGACAAAATAGGGATGTCGGAGTCCCTCTCTGTCTTTAGGAAAAACTTACAAAACATACAGTTGTCTTCATCGTATGACTGCAACTGTGTATTTTGTAAATAGACAATCTGATTACCAATATTTTCTCTTTTTAAATTACTATTATTTTTTAGTTGATTTAATTTCTCTATTTCTTATTTTTATTTATCACTTGTATATGTAGATTATGTAAATTATTACGTTGTAATTTTTATGGCACATTTGCATTTAAACGAGCTATCGCTCATATGCGATATGTGGCTAAATAAAATTACTGACTTACTTACTTACTTACTTTATTGCCAAGGAGCCATCCGAGCGAAGACGTTTGGATGGCAAGGCGGCAGCAGAATAGAGCCGCGCAAGACTGGGCAATAGGCAGAAAAATTCTCGATCGAGCTGAAAAAAGTGTAATAGGGCGCTTTCCATTTACGAAAAAAACTCGGAAATTTCGGTGGTAGCAAAAGTGGAATTTCCGATTGGTAAAAAGTTGTTCCATTTGGTCGTAAGCCCCGGTACGTGGCGCGGTGCCCGACCGTGGACCTGGAACTGGTACAAACTACGAGAAACGTAAATGGAACACGACATTCCGTTCGGAAATTCCAACCGGGAAAACGGGACCACCTTTTTAGATTTTCCACTTTTTCTGGGAATTTTCCAGTGGGACGAACCGACGAAACGTGTTCCATTTACCGCCGAACCGGAAATTCCGGAAATAAAATGTAGATTCCCCTGAGACCAAGTGGTCAGTTGTGAACCAATCAAAAGGCAGTACCTGGCGCACGGGCTCAAGTTGAATAACAAACAAAATTTCACACACTTCCCGCCGTCGCGACTTCCTGTGTTTATTTACCTAAATTTTTCCGTCAAACCCGGCCACCGTAGTCAAGAGACATGAGCGCTTGATATATTCTATTAATTTTAGGGGCCATAATGTTGAGTTTTAACGAAGAGAAGTTTGTAAAACAGCGAAAGTGTTCTATGTGCAGCAAGCAATATTCTCACCACTAAAAAGGATCAGATTACACGAGGAGATAAGGAAAGCTTGACAAGAAGAATGCAGTCGCTTCTGTTGGAAAATCTGGTGTTGGGGAAAAAATCTAACCAGCAAACAAAAACAATGAGAACAAGACGCTACGGAGCGTACACTTCGGCGTCGTGGTTGTGGAACTAATTTATTGTAAATGCGGAGGAATAGTAAGACATCAAATATGGTAAGAGTAAGGTGTTAATTTGTGAAATTATGGGATTTGTCAGGATATTCTGAAAAGAGCAACATCCAAGAGGCCTACTTGCCAAAAACTAGCATTTCGGGACAAATTGTCTCCGAGATATTAGCCCAGTTATGCTCTGATGACTCCATACAAATCCTTCTAAAAAAACAATTCTCTATTTTTCTTAGTCACATCAGGCTTCAAAAACAGCATAGCAGTCTCATGTACTGATTAAAGATATGTAAGGCATGGGTAAGGAGTCAATTACGTTGAGCATGGAATTGGCTAAAACTCAAAGTCACGAGTTCGAATGTTTTGAGGATAATTATTCACTGACTATCTGCACGCAGGGATGTCGGATTAACACAACGAAGTTTAACACCAAAGGAACATAGCCTTTACAGAGCTTTAAAACACAGCATCCACCAACACAAACTTGACTTGAACTTTGAGTAAAATTAAACAGCCTCTACCAATAATAACAAACTCTCACTTGAACTTCAGATATCTTACGGCTTCCGCGAACTTGTAAACACAATACCTGAAAATCGACCTTCGTCACACTTGACTAAACACAGCAGTCCAGCTCGTGGGAAAAAACTTTAAATAGTTCTTCAAAAGAACTCGCTTGGAACTTGTATACCGTTTGACATAAGGTTCTAGAAAATACTAAACAGCAGGCGAATAGTAGTAGCTTTTCGACATATCATATGATTTCAGTAACTGATGCAAATCTGCTGACTCATGCTGAAATGGAAACATGGCCTAATTAATTATTCATGGATAATCCAAAAACGTAGAGAACGTTCGAGAAAGTCACGCAACGCAAGAAAGCAATTTTACTACGTAACACTCAACAAAGACACAATGTCTTTTTGCAGCATTTTGTAACTTTAAATTCATCATAAAACAGTTCGAAAGGAGGGCTCACTTGTGAAATGTTTTTCAACACTCGAAGAGAAATTTCGTGTCTCTGCGCGGCCACGAAATATCCTCTATTTATTCCTCGAGTAATTAAAGACTAAACTCGAAGTGATCTCAAGATATCACGAAGTAGTCCGGTCTCATTTCGTGAAATAGTTGAAGCAAGCCGAAAAGTCACGAACTTGCACGCCCAATCTTGTCCTGAAACTAGTGCATCATTTCATAACTATTTTTCGTATCCCAAACTACCTTGGGTCGCAGTAGCGCAATCGGCTAATCCCTCAACTTAGAGTCTCCTCTGATCTGACGGGTCACACAGGTGAGTCGGTTCAAACCCCGGGAAAGCCAAAATAATAATTCTTGCTTCCTCGAAAAAGTTAAAGAATAAATCAAAGAAATCGAAGTGATCTCGAGATAGCTTGAATTAATTCGGCTCTCACTTCGTCAAATAGCCGAATAAAACCGAAAACCTACAGACTGTGCATGCCCAATCTTGTCAAAAAATTGTAACTTTGATACATTCCTGAGCGTCGCGAAACCTTTACTTCGCGCTCCGCCGAAGTAACAAAAACGAATTACAAGCCTAAAGCGAACGACAAAGGAAAAGAAAACAACGCCATTTTTTTCGAAACGTGGCCGAGTTCAGTATAAAATTAAATACCGACGTGCCGTACATCGCATGTCCGTGAAAACATTTCAGATGGCCCAGCGAATCATTCTAAGTTTCAATCCGATAACAAAAAGCCTAGGGAAATTTAAAAGGAGGTTTAAATGATTTAACTGTGCAAATATTTATCAACAATGTGAAACCGAACCGACAGTAGATGTGTAGCTGGACTTAATAATATTCCCGATCGCTTCCTCTGCAAGGCTGACTTTATTCTTCCAAGGCACTTCACACTTTTACATAACAGGTTTGTAAAGCCACCAGACTGAATCTGAGAACTTTTCAAGAAAATAATCCTTGCAACAGGAAGGGACCAAGAAACGGTCAAATGGGAAAAAAAGGAATTTTATTCCTAAGTAAAATACGCATGAAAGGCACGTTGGCACTCTATCGATAGGTATACCTAGTCTTTTACACTTTTGTAGTTTATGAGCCAGTGGAACGAAACTTCATTTTCCTTGCATGTCGAAAACACAAAACACGAAAAGTAATTTTTTTCAATCGGTTGCATTTCTTCTTCTCTGGACTGTTTATCACAAAGAAGTTACACGAGTCTTTTCCAGCACGTTAAACTTTGCGTGACAATTTTCTTATCAATGACATCGGCGACGCGCAATTTTACCGCAAACTCAAATATGCAAATTTCGTAGAACGAAATTCGATACTCACACTGTCTTGCCGCGCCACGAGGTCCTGATCTCTATAATTATACTTCTTCAAGTGATGCTTTCTTCTTGACGCAGTGCGAGAAAAGTACGGTTATGTTTGCTACGCGACCTTGCATTTCATATGCAGAATTGTGGAATTCAACAGAAATTACATGAAATGCACAAAATTTGTCTTTGACTTGAGCGCATAAGGAGTTCGCATAAGGAATTCGCTTATTTGTTATACAATTCAACAGAAAATACACGAAACTCAGAAAATCTGGCATCCTAGGGAACAAAACTACTTCTTTGTTCACTTCAATTGGAGATAGCAAAATTACCAGGGGGTGTGCGAAAATTTTGGAAATTCCGGAGTGGAGGTGGGGTAAATTTTGAGGGCCGATTTTGGAAAATCCAGCGGGGAGAGGGTGTCATACGGCAAATCCCTTCCGTGGGGGTGTATGGATATTTTCTGGAACCACACAATGATGGCGACCATAAAAAATCAAGCGAAGCTGTATAGTGAATGAAACCTCGCACATGTATTATTTAAAGCTCCTTACAGTGTGATGAAATATTCAAAGGGCCTGTAAATTGATTATAAAATATTAAGTAACAATATTAAATAATAATGATAATAATAATAATACAATAATAATAATAAGCAACCGCCAAACCATCGATCACAATACAAGTGGCGGTATTGAATTGGCAAAGTTCGCCTCTTACATCCACTGAAATATCTCAGGGGCACCCAACGACAATTTTCGGAAAAATATCTGTTCGGAAGACGATTTGAGATCTAGAATTTTCGGAACATTTGTTGTAAAATTTCTTGCTTGCCTGCCTCTCCTAGGATTTTCGGACATCTAAAAAATGGTATAATTACCTATTTTTATCGGATTTTTACCCTAAAAAGGTCACCTAGAATTTTTGGGAGCCTTTTTTCTGGCTAAAATTTTCGAAAAGGTAAGTTTGGATCCCTATAATTTTCGGATCACTTGACTTTCAGCTAGGAAATCCGAACAGATGAAAAATTTTCAGGGGATAAAAATATGCCTATATCTACCGTTTAAATACTAAAATACGTTAAACAATTCTATGTTTAAGTGGTTTTGAACTATATTCACGTTGGGTGCCCCTGATATCTGCAAAGTTTACAACATCAAAGTGGGGAACAACTACTAAGTACAAGTGTACACCAGAGACAGTGACAGAAAATAAAAATGAAAGATGTATATCCTCTGGGACAAGCAAACGGATAAAAAAATCAAATTCAACAGGCCTGACATCCTAATGAAAGATCAAGAACTGAAGAATTGCCTACTGGTTGATATGGCTGTATTCGCGCTGAACGAAATACATCTGTCAAAATGGTTGAAAAGCTATCAAAATATTAGAACTTGGAGATCGAAATCTCAAGGATTTGGGGCCTTATAGCAGAAACTGTGCCTGTATTCTTGGTTTGCAACCACGTGACAAGGCGGCCATGTTAGGGGTCAATACAATAGAACTTTTTCTCGAAGAATTTACATGAAAATGGAGTTTAGTTCCCAGAGGAGAGAAATGCTTTTGTTCTTGACCACCACCATGGCCGTCGTGACGTCACGTGCAAACCAGCAATTGGAGCACTTGGCCTAGTTAAAAAGGGCCTGGGAAAATACGTCGATCAAACTCCTGGAAGCACCTACAGAAGACCAGCCTAGCTACTGGGCACATCTCATAATTTACGAAAAGTGCTCTCCACTAACTAGATAACGACTCCCCCAGCCGCTCCCGAGGAAAGTAGTAGCTTCTCGTACCTCTGGGCGGTAAAAACTTCGAAAAAAGGAAAACATAATAATAATATATTTTAGCATGTACTGACCTTGAAGGGGCCGTGACAAAAAGTAAACTTAGCATGACATCAAATCTTATAAAAGCATAATTCGCATTAATGAGATTGCTCTGCATTTTATTCATGCAATAAAGACAAAGGAATATAACATCATCGACGTTACTGCGCAAAAATGCCGGGGTTCAAAAAAATCCCCACTATACTACCCATATCAAGAATCAGGCAAAGTTTTACTTGAGCTGTTCCACGCGAGACAGGACAATTTCTTCTAATTTTTTGTAACAAGTAAAAATGAAAATGTACTTCAAC